GTCCATGGCCAGGCACAGCTGTGATGGAGCTGGAGTCAGGTATACTTGCAACAGACCACAGACAACGAGTAGAGACTGGAGACCCAGGTCTGAGCTTAAATGAAGCTCCTGGATGGATGGGCAGAGGGTGGGGGAGTGAAGGCTCCAGCTGAGGCTTGTAAGGACTATTAAGGTCTATTACAGCAGTCATGGTCCTGAAAAGATAAAAGAATGAATCTGGGATTACCCTTATTATGGAGAAGTACAGGAAAGGAGAAGAAATGGATGCAGAGGAAGGAGAATGAGAAGAAAGTGACTTTGAAAAAAATTATTTCCAAAGGCCTTTTTAAGGCAAGATATAGGCACTGCACTTACATGAGTATTTCATTGTGCTCTGTACTTGTTTTATACAGTGTTCTGATACTCGTTTTGGGATACAGTCACATCTGCCACTGTGGTTGCAGTCTTTCTCATGCCATCTACTATTACTCAATGGGATGTAGTCTAATAGTAAAGTTCTTTGCCCAGAAACTGGTGGTTTCTTAAAACTGAGCCATAAGGAAGCAGGCACTTTATTTTCTAAGCCAAGCTTCCTTAGAGTGTGTTAGAACCAGGGAGCCAGAAGTCCTGTAAGAATCTTAGACACAGGAGTTAAAACCTTCTAAGGAGAAGATAAATCCTTAGAAGATCCTACCTGAATAAGAAACAAGTGTTTCTAACATGTACCTCCCTCTAAAAATGAGTACTACTTGAGAGAGCAATATCTAGCAAGGAGTCACATGGAAAAGACAAGGGGTAATAGGCACAAGTTACTCTCAGGGAGATTCTGGTTGGACACGGGGGTAAAATTTTTCACAATGAGTCTCCTCAGGGAATAATTTCCCCAGGGAAGTGATGGATTCCCCAACACTGGATACTTTTCATCTGGACAGGGTGCTGGGCCATCTTGTCTAGATCATGCTTTGCCAAGGAATGTCAGACCAGATGATCCTTGAGGTCCCTTCCAAGCTGGTATCCTATGATTTCATGATTCTGTGATCTAAAACAACCTAGCTTGCCCTGTGGCAAGTCAGTAATCACTGACCCTGACTGGCTGTGCACTGGAAAAAGCAATGGCTTCTGACCCTGATCTGCTGTCTTTGGAACTGTGGCTCACTTGAAGATCACCTTTTCTGAAGTGATCAGTTCCTCTCAGCTTGGCAAGAGGGACCTCTTCTCTTTAAAAAAAAAAAAACAGCAAACCAAACAAAACCCAAAAAGAACCCAAACAAAACCAACGAACCAACCAACCAAACAAAACCAAAAACACCACCACCAAACCAATTGTTTGAGCCTGCAACATGCTAGCCATTAGAGTACTGTTTCCTGGGGAGTGCCTGGGCCATGCTTCTCTTTCCTCTTCACTCCTATTGTCTTTTTGCTCTTACTGGATGCTTTTCTGCTGTCTGTCAGAGGAAGAAAACAGAGACATTGTCACAGCACACAGCATAGTCTGGAAAGAACCAAAGTGCAGCAATTTGGGGAGAACAAGTCTGAGAAGTAGAGTCAGCATGGGAAGAGAGAAAGCGGGCTAGACAACAGTCAGGGAAGAAGTGTGTTGAGTGGGGAAATTGGCCAAATGCAGGAGTGAGAGGATGAGGAAAGAGAAAATCAGTGGAAGAAAGATACACTTCTAACAAGAGGACAGGAAAGATAGTCTTGGGAAAAGAAAATATCCTGCAAATGTCAAACCACAGGAATCCAGATTCCAGTCCCCAGTTCTTCCAGCGTCTTGCTTCTTTGTACTTCATTTGCCCTTGTAAAACAGCAATGATGGTCTCACCTTCCTGGATGACCACTCACTACCCTGCTGCAATTGTGTGCACTTAGCAGGGTAAAGGAAGAGAAGATCAGACCAGGTTTACATGCTCACATCCATACACATCAAGAAACCACACTTGAGAATTATGAGGATGCTATGGGAACAGTGAGCATAGAAGAATGTATACAAAATGAGGAAGAATAGAAATAAGAAGGAGAAAATGGAGTTGAAAGTTT